GTCGGCAATCGGAGGGGAATCGGCGACAAGCTCAATGTGAAAGTAGCGCGCGTGCGGCCGTTGCTTCAAAGGAAATCACATTGCGTATACGCAACGTGCAAATAAACAAGCAAATGCGGCAAACAAACATGGAAAAATCGACAGATCTCAACGGGGCGACAATCAACGTGCATACATTAAGTTGTTGTTGCTGTTGTTTCCCTTCTGTTGCTGTTTTTCTATTTTATTAGTTCTGCCAGCGTCGCGTTGAAGACATTTTCATTGCGCACATTTTGGCCACACGTGCCGGCCATTCATTTGCCAGTCCCGGTCGCAGGCCCAGCCGGGCCATCCGACAGTCAACTAGAGAACTTGTTCAATTTGCCTGCCAGCTTCACTGACTGCCTGTCTGTCTGTCCATCTTTTCGTTTTTCCGGTTTTCTTTTGCTTTTGCTTTGGGCATTAGAACAACATAATTTGCTTGTTGATGTTGTTGCTGTTGTTGTCGTTGTCGTTGTGTTTGCTGTTGCTGCTGTTTCTATTGCTTATGCTTTGATTGGAGCACAGAAGTCCGACAGGCTGCAGGTGCCTGTTTTCTGAACTTTAACAAATTGCATGGGTCCCATTGAACCCTTCAGCCAAAAACTGAGGTAGCGTGCAGACAACGTTATCTAATCTCTGCCAAACAGTTGCTGCGTTTTATACACCTGCCCGAATGGTTGGCCAGCGAAGGGGCATCGAACTGAACAACGATTTAATGCGGCTGTCGAATTATTCTAATTGTTGTTTACACAGCTCAATTGCCGGTAAGAAAAACAAGAGCGAAGCGTATGACAACAATGAGGTGTCATTTGTTTACAGTGCGGCGGTCCCAGCGGGCGTATACGTAATGTTCAATGCTCCCAAACAACAAACAGCTCTACTGAGCAGCTATCGTATAAATCTTATCTTGAGCAATTGCACAATCATAAAAAAACACACACACACAAATATGCAAATAGTATGATATTCTATGGGGAGGCCAGAGCTGCCCCCTAGTTTCCCTAGCGCCCCTCTCGGGCAGCTTAGCTGGCTAATGGGGCGCGTGCTAGACTCGCTGCCAGCAATTGTAAAAGATATCCGTTCAAACAAGATAATGTTCGCATGATACATACGTTTCTTCAATAAATCACTGGCTGAATTCTATTTAAAAGAATCGAGAAATGACACAATGTCGCCAGAGCGCCAATAAAAATGAATCAAAAATTATCAAATAAATAACGAGCGCTCGCAGTCAAATTCATAAATAACAAAAAAAAAAAAAAAAAAAAATAGAAAACAAGCTGACAGAAAATATTAAGGAAAATGCAGAAGAGCTGGCAAAGTTGTTCGTTTTTCTTTTTGGAAAAACACAGCGTTAAATATTGGAGAACAACATGAAAAACTTCCGTTCGCTGTCGCAGTCGCTGGCGAATGTGGGTCAAGCAGCGAGAGAGAGAAAGAGTGAGAGAGTGAGAGAGCGAGAGAGAGTGCGACACTGCCAAAATAAAATGTCTTTCAGCGCACGATGACAACGTTCCAAATTCATAATTTTAAGAGCTAAAAAAGACAGCGAATAATAAAAAAGAAAACACGTCACATTGCACATTTCATTAATTTTGGCTTAAGTGAAATCATTGGGAATAACCCCAAGTGCCGAGAACAATGATAAATCCGTGATGCTTTGCTGTCGGTAAGTGTATGCAAATTGCATGCAATTTGGACGACAGATGGCGCCAGGCAGCGTGTCGCATGCAATTTGCTTATTAATTCAATAAAATCTTAATAAACGTAACGTTCCCAGCCAAACCCGTCTAACGTAACCCCTCTCAGCTGGCAACGGACCATTGCCAAAACCACATGTTGTCGCCGCTCTCCCTCTCTCTCTCTCTCTCTCTCTCTCTCTCTCCATCTCTCTCGCTCCTCTCTTCCGTTCTCGGGCGTTTTTGATGGATTTGCATGAATCATTGAGGCGTCACGCTCGAAGGAAAAGCGCCCAGAAATGAGTTGCAAAAAACGAGCAAAATTTATTATATTTTTCATATAGTATGAAAAGTTATTTTAATGCGAGCACATCGCCTCCATCTCCTGTGCTAAAATCGGCGACAGGCAGCAGCCAAAACCGACGAAGACGTCGACAGTTTTCCTGCCATTGCTTTTGGCAGCGTTTCCTCTCTCCGTTTATTTTCTAGTTGTCGCAGTTGTTATGCCAGACTTTTCCGGAAGCGCGGCGCGACAGCAGCTGCGGCTTTGACGTAGTGTTGACGCACAGAAACACCAACAACCACGACAACAACATCTTCATAAGGGGCCAATGAGCTCTGGCAGCAAAACGTTTCTAAAAAATAACTGAGTGTATATCAAATTTCAGGGCCTCTCTCTGCAATTCTCTTGTTAGATTTTAACCTAAGGTGGGACCTGAAAACGAAGAAGTAAAGCAACAAGAAACGCAAGCAAATGATGTTCGTTTGTAATTCTCAACAAGTTAAGGCATCAGCTTGATCATAATGCATGATCAATACATTTGTATTTTCGCTTGTAATTCTCAAAGAGTTTAGGCAACAGCTTGATAAATATATTTGTTGGCTGATAAAAAAAAGAGTTCTTCAAGCACATCTTTGCAATAGATATTGCCATATACATTGGATTTCCCCCATTAATCATACCACACAAAGCTCCAAGCGCTCTGATAATCATCTGTTAAGCGCATAATTAAGTCATAATATGTAAGAATTGAGGCGAACTGAAATGATATGCCAAAAGCAACAACAAATCAACAACAAATGACAAAAAATATTAATAAATAATAATGAAGAGGAACGAATAAAATGTTCATCTTATTATTATGCCTCGAATTTCATTGTGAATCAAAGCAAAAACTTGAAAAGCCTTCGACCGGCGCACAACTGCGTGCTGAATTTGGGGCTCTCGCAGCTCACGAAGTGAATGGGCATAAAGGGGGCGGGGCAGCAGCCCTCCCTCCAGCCCGTTCGCTTTGGGGCTTTGGGGCATGACAATTGTCAACTTGTTTGCGTGCTGCCTTCAATTCTTAATCGCCTTCTGTCCATAGCCACTTGTGAGTTGCCGTTTTATTATTTCTTCTCTCTCGTTTTTTTTTTTTTTCATTATATTATATTTTATTTGGCATGGAGCTCCTTCACGGCACGAAGTGAAGGAGGAAGGCAGCTGGAACAGAAGCGGGCATCGCCAACAATTGGGAGCGTGAGAAAGTGACGCGCACAATTAAAATGCTGTTTTATGGGCCGTCGCATTGGCCAAAGAGAACATAAATAATAAACAATAAATTATCTTTAAATATGTAACAATATTTTTTTTTTTGAATTTTTTTGTGAGTTTTTTTAATAGTATAAATATCGCCACATACATTTTCCTTTTCGGCCGGGCCACGCGAGAGACGCATAAATTAACATTCGGTTAGCATTAAATCAAAAATTCGTATATATAAATAGCGTCTCGGGGATTTAAACACATCTATGTGCTATATACAGACGATTTTATAATTATCTCATTATTATTGTTATTCATTGGGCTTTCAATTCGCTGGAAAAATCGCGTGCGTAATGCCATTGCATAATCAGGCGAAAATTCACATGCAATTCTTAACTGCATTTCCCACTCGCCCGCCCACTAGCCCGCCCACTCGTTATCGAAAATAGAAAATGTTGTAGTTCGAAAATCGCAAATAGCAAATACTTTAGAATCGACCAATTTGTCTCTCGAATTGTCGCAGATGATTCATTCATTCACGCAATTCGCAATTATCATGTGATGAACAACAAGCGCTCCTCCCACCGCCCCTGCCGCCTATCGACACGCCCACAGCGAGACACGTGATATGCCGGCTAATTTAAGTAAATCGAACGGCTGCCTAAATTGTGGGCGTGGCCGAGGCGCACTCGCATCCATTTCATTGCCAAACACTCGCGACTCACTCATGACTCAGAGAAAGCCACGGCGAAGGAGACTTTTTGGCAACAGCCCGCAAATGATTGGCCAATGTGTAATTGGCCGTCTGCAAAATGCGTTAATTAGGCAACTTAAATATAATTCGAATGCTAAACTTAACAAAATTGACAAATGTTTGCCTTAAGCTCCGCACGTGAAACGAATTCATTTTTCAATTATTATCTAAAAAAATATATACACTAGTTTCTGATATCTTAAGGGCCTATCTATCTATCGACTATCTATTGATTGGCAATTAAAAATGAACAAATTCAAAATTTTGACAAAATTTCTGACAAAAAACCAGTTCGCTTTTTATTCAGGCTATTCAGATTTACTTTAAATACTTTTCCATTTTCATCTTGATGAAAAGTTAATGAAAAAATATGAGTAACAATTTTGTTTGAATTTATACTTTGCTGATATATCTCGGCAACTCACTTCTTGGCGTGGAAACGTCCAAAATTGAAACTTTAATAATTTTGTTTTTTTTATGCTTTGATTTGAAATTTCTGAAAATTGCTTGAAAAGCCCACACTTTAAAGTAATTACTTTAAGTGTTAGAATCTTTCGTCAGCTGCAATGGAAAGAACCTATAAATATTTCAACAGAATTTGTACAAAAATTCTTTTACAAATCAAACACTTTTCTAGAAATAGTCGCCATCTATGCGTTGGGTCCTTGAAAATCAGGTCATGTCATATGCCAGCTTTACGATCGCTGCAAAAGCAGAGTCCATAAACAACTTACGATTAAGTTTAACAATTTTGAGCAGACGCCTATAAAATTCAAATAAAAACACAAAAAAAAAAAACTTAAAATTTCAATAATTTCTAGTACAATCTTGTTGTTGTTTTTATATGGCGCCGAGGCACAAAACGATTTTCACATTTCGCATAAACAATGAAACATGCCCAAATTAATTAGAATTGAAGGCACATTATGTAGATATATTAACGTATACTATATTATTGGAACATTCGGAGACTAATGCTTAAGTTTGTTGCTTTCTATTGTTGTTGTTGTTGTTTTTACAGCACAGAACGCAACGATTACATCGCTTAGATCCATGCCGAGCAACGCGACGATGATCAACGGCAAGGAGCTACGCATCATCTGCAACGTGGAGGGCAGGCCGCCTCCAAAGGTGACCTGGTTCAAGGACGACAAGTCGATAAATCGCAAACGCAATGTTTACCAATTCAAGCATCACAAGTGAGCGAACCAAAAGAGTTCAATAATTGCATAGATCTAACAATTCTCTCTCCCTCTCTCTCGCTCTCTCTCTCTCTCTCTCTCGCACTCTCTCTGCAGAAGACGCGCCGAGCTGATCGTGCGCTCCTTTAACAGTTCCTCAGATGCGGGCAAATACGAGTGTCGTGCCAAGAATAAAGTCAGAAAAGACATCGACAAGCGCGGCATCATGATCAATGCCTATCCAGGTAAGACCTTCAAGACTATACAGCCGCACCGCCACTCCCTCTCTTTCACTATCTGTCTATATCTGTATCTCACTTTGATGTGCGCCTGCCAAGCGGCTCGCTCCAATTCATTTCTAATTAATGGCCACATTTGAAGGCGACAATCTAACCCAGATGCATATGTATCTATAACTATAGAGCATACATATTGATTGTAAATTAAAATTATGAATTAATTTCGTGTTTTTTCCTTTTGCTTTCATTTTGATAACTTACAGTTCCGCTGACGCCGGATCCGGGCAGCGCGGGCTATCCATGCGAGAACAACCATTGCTTTCACGGCGGCACCTGCATGTTGTTACCGTTTCTGAATATATATTATTGCAAGTAAGTTGATTTCGAATGCAGTGGAAAGGATTGCGCTAGACGAAAATGTGATTTAGTCAGGATTGTGTAGGATTGTGTGGCATTGAAATGTATTTTGGACATGATACAGCTGCGCCTGCTGCCACTTCAACACGCAACCCAATGTCAAGTGGCTGCGCTGCGATAAAACCTGTGACAGCTGATAAAGTCGGAAAGTCCCGAAAGACAACCCTCCTCCTCCCAAACAAAATAACCAACTAGTGAGCCGAGCACTTGAGAAACTGTCGAGAAACTGTTCAATTTTGGCATCGCATTACACGATCGAGTGAAAATCCCAATTGTAGAATTTCAGAACTCCAACGAACTCGCACTCACACTCGCACTCACACTCAAACATATACACTCACAGCAATGTGAATAATGTCTTTCGGCGCCTCGTTTTATACATTATCCACGAGCTGTGCATGTGTGAGTGCAAGACGCATATATCGACACGTATATGTAAACCAAACCAATTTCCATCCACTGGCAGCCCCCAAAAAGCGCTTTGTACTTGTTTTTATCTTTGCGCGTTTTGTTTTTCTTCTTATTCCTATTTTGTCTGTGAAAAACCATTTTCATTTTCGATTTGAGTTCTTGGCTGATGTGATTTGCAAAAAAACAACAAAAAAAAAAAACACCATACAGAGAGACAAATGAAAAAAATAAGAAAAAAAAAATTTGTTAATTAAATGTTGGTTTCGTTTTTTTCCTCTTCTTGCTGTTTACACTTAAGCATTCGGGTTTTCGCGTGCGAGGGAAATGCTGGAACACAGTTCATGGCCAGCTAAATGTGCTGTATACTCAATCTGAAGTGTTTGCATCGCATTTGGATACATTCAAATACCATATTTACTTATCTTAATCTTTATATTTTCAAAATTTCAGTTGCCCGGAAGGATTCACTGGCCAGCGCTGCGAGTTCTCCGGCCCAGACAGTACGTACAGCAATAATCCCGAATGTGGCAACAAGTTTTATGGAGGGTATTACTGCTAAAATAGGCACTTCTATAGCATCGATTGTTTTAGATCGAGTTACGCGATACCGTTACCGTTACCGATACCGATACCGATACACGAAATCGATATAAATATCCAAAACAAAAATCAGAAACGATCTGCACACAAAAATATAAATCAAATACAAATCAGTTAACCAAAATCTCAAACTTTCAATAAACAGAATGAACATAGTATATCTGACAATAAATCAACATAAATATTAGAACATCAAATAAACCAAATATAGTCGATAACAATACACACACAAACACACACACAACCACACACACACACACACACGCATAGTACAAATACAGTATACCGGCTACTCAGTAGCAACTGAAGCATGGAAATCGCACGTAATAAACGATATATGACCAAAAGCCTAAGATTCAGAAGTTCCCCACTCGCTCTCCTTCACAGCCGCCTTCATGATTACTTGAATTTTATTAGAAAACACATTCCAAAAAGCAACAAAGCAAAGTCTTAAATCTAACTAACAACAAGAAGATTATTCTATTCTATTACGCTACATACGTATATATAAAAACAAAAATTAATAAACTAAAATGCATAAAAATTATCAAAAATCAATTATGATAATGCGAATAAAAACAAATGGTGCTATAGAAGGTTTATTTTAAATAGTTACTACATAGGAAAAAAAGTATATTAATTAAAACAACAAATTCTCTATAAAGTAAATGTTAAAAAAAAAAAAAAAAACAAATTTTAATTTTCCATTTTCACGAAAAACAAAACAAAATTATGAATGCAACTCACCGACTCGAGACACTCAGAAATTGCGACTAACGCACACGTACACAACGGAACAGAACAGAACAGAATACCTACCAAATACTGAATAGCTTGTCGAACCATTCAATTGGCGAAGCCCTCACTCATATGGATTACGCTCTACCTATAACCATAACGATTACGATAACGATTACGATAACAATAACAGTAACAATAACAGTAAACAGAGGCTCTCATAAGTTAGATATTCTTTGCAACAAATGGCAACCCCATCAGCAAAATAGCTGTAGCCAAAGTACAGTCACCACAAAAAAGCACTGACCACAAACCGAAATTTTGTTTTGTTTTCGAACACAAATTTTTTTTTTTTTGTAGTTTGCAATAATCAAAAAGAAACAACAACAAAAACAAATACAAGCGAATGTAACAACAACATGAATAATAATACTTCATTCAATAACTATAATTATTTCTTGCAATTAATTTAGTTATTTAGCAATCGTATACATACATTTTATTATAGTTTCTTGTTATACTATGAAACAATATTAACACTTTGGCTGTAGATTTTGACAAACCAAAACACCAAGCCAAACAAATCGAAACAAACAAAATATAAATACAATTGCATACGCTCCTTATTATTTATCTGGTGGTTGTTTATCAAATAGTTTGACTAATCTTTTGCGTTTCCCCCTCCCAATCTGTTTTCTCTCAATTTGGTTAACTCTGTTCCACTATTTTACTCCTACTTTTTTTTTATTATTTTTCATTTTGTTTTCCTAACGCAAAAGATCATAAAGCTGAGCTGGCGTACAGTTTCCAAAACGGAAGTTCAGTTTCAAAATCATGCATGAACAACTGCTGGTTCCCAACGGAATCTGTTTTGAGCGCTCCCCAATAACTAGTTCATTTTTTTTAACTTTTTGCTTGTAATTCCCTTTTTGGAAATGGTATTAGGGCAGCTAGTTATCGGGAAAAAAAAATAAATAAATAAACTAAAATAAGAGAAAAAAAAAACCAATTAATTTTAATTTTTATTTATGATTTAATCTCTTCACAGATATTTTGTTGCAATCTACGGCCAAATACATACCTTAAATAATGATTATCTTAATGCATAGAATTTTTATTTAAACAAAAACAAAAACAAAAAAAAAAGAAACAAATAATAAATAAAACGCAATCAAAAGTACTCCCTGCACTCCAACGCCGACAAATGTAATTTTTTAGTATTATGTTTAAAAAATTCTACAATTTGTTGCACCACACGAAAAACAAAAAACTAAAAAAAAAAACAAAAACAAAAACAAAAAAAAGCAGAAACCAAATTTTCGCAACGCTCACGCCAAGCCAATTGTGGGCGTTGTTCCACAATTTTTTTTGCAACTACAAAAAAAAAAAATATATTATTATTTAAAAATGATAAAAATGAAAGCAAATACATTAACCAGCTGCAGACTCACAATTCCCGTTGTTTTGGCGTTTGTGCACGGTGACAGAATTTTATCTATGAAAATTGAATCAAAATCTGAACTTTCTATTGTACTTCGTTTTGCGAGAGAAAATAAGAAATTGCGAAATAAAAAACCCCTTCCCCCAAAAAAATAAGAGAAAGATAAGATATGATACCGATTGACCCTGACACTGACACTGTTGCGCTTTTGTTGTTGTACCATAGACATACATACATACATATAGAGAATATGAAGAACGAGAGCTTGTAATAAACCATGTATATATACATATATATATATGTGTATACATATATATATATATATACATATACTTAAATATATAAACATTATGATTCACGATAAGTTTTGTGTACATTTCAACTAAGTTATAAAAGAGCTTAACCATAATTTATTTTGTATTTTATGATTGATTAATTTAAACTTTATGCTAAGTTCAACACACACACACACACACACACACATATATACAGCTACTTAATTTCGAAATACTATTTTATTTTCCATTTATGGTTTTTTTTTTCTTAATTAAGTATTTGTAACTAAAGTGTATGAGAAATGCAAACTTTATTTTTTATGTATATGTTGACAACAGTTTGTACTTATCGTAGGCGAAGAGATTATTCTTAGTTAAGTTAAGTCAAAATTTTTAATTTAATTATTGAAAGATTTATACCAAAAATACTATGTAAAGCTTAATTTTAATTGAAAAACAAAAACGATGCGTAAGAAAAAATTTTCATTAAAAATTTGCAAATACTTCACATTTTACAAATTTTTTTTCCTTTAATTATTAGTTAACATTGTTTTCATGCTCTTTATAATTATTTATAGCGAAACAATTGCAACAATTTTGAGAAAAGAAGAGTTAACAGAAACATTTTTAGTTGATTTTCCTAATTTGCAGTTTAGTTTCTTTAATCGAAGCGAGAAATCTTCTATTGGCAGCTTCGTGTAATCATGAGTCTTAGGTTACGAGGCTTCTCTGAAAATGAAATCATTTGAAGCCTTGCTAAAAGAATGTTTTGTTTGGTTCTTCAACAGGTTCAACCTACAAAATGGCCTATAGCAACAATAGCAATCGCTGGATGAGAAGCAGTGCAAAATAAACGTCTATAGAATGCAAACACGTACTAGGAACTATTAATGGATCTCATGATTATAAAAAGTTTAAAGATTGCTAATAAAAGTATTTGTTGCGAGAACTGTGCTTTGTTTCCATGTTAATAAATAAATATACTAAATAGTCCAAAATATATTGCAATCATAAGTTAATAATACGCAACAAATAACATTTAAACGCCTGGGAATATAACAAAAATGTCGAATACCCCCTCAACAACAATGCCAGACAGGAAATTATTATTTTCGAATGCTGTTTGCTGTTGGCGCCAAAGCTTTTGGTAAGTTTGGTATATGAGTATTTTTGCCGTTTGTAGTTTTTTGGTATTTTTTGAAACCATTTCATTTTATCGATTAAGTTTATTCACGCGTTTTGCCCAAATGAACTAGTTGAACGTGTTTCTTCGCGAGTGTTTGTTCATTCAACCCTACTAGTTCGAAAAGGAACGGAACTGAAAAGACAGCTTCAAAAACTAGCGGCTTAAATTTATAGAAAAGTTTTCTCTTGCCATTTTATTAAAAACGCAGCTTAATATGTCCACGGCCCAAGCAACTAAAAACTGCATCACGCTAAAGGGCTCAGCACAAATCATTGTCGAGTACTTGAGTAAGTAAATACAAGAAGAATGGCGACGCTTATAAATCTCGCGCTCTAATTATGGCGTCCCGCCTTTGTTTACGTGCGAAATTAGAATACGGCATCAATTCGATATTGTTCCAACGTGGTATCTATCCAGCGGAGAACTTTGATAACACACAACAATATGGACTGACCATACTCATGTCCAAGGATCCTAAGATCACAACTTTTTTGCAAAATGTCTTGAAGCAAACCGAAGGTTAGTTAATTGCGCACGCGTTGCATCTGTTGCGTTTTATGACCAACACCCCTCTCCCCCCGCGCACATGCTATGTTGTGCCTTTCAGAATGGCTTTCCAAGAACATGATTAACAAAATCTCCATGGTCATCACAAATGCTCACACCAAGGAAGTTCTGGAGTGTTGGGACTTCAAAATGCAAGCAGAAGCTGGCGATGGCGAATCGAACGATCCAACCAAGCAAACATCCTCGAAGCAGCTGAGCCGCATACAAAACGAGATACGAGATGTTATGCGCCAGATATCGGCCACCGTTAGCTATTTGCCGCTGCTCGACTGCATTTGTACCTTTGATGTGATGATACATACCCTTCAGAACACCGAGATACCAGCACAGTGGGACGAAACCGGCGCAGTCTTCATACAGAACGCTCAAGCGGTGCAGTTGCGCTCCTTCTCCACTGGCTTGCACAAGGTGGACACGGTGGTCAATTATAAAATGAGCTCTTAAGTGATATATATAATATTTATTCTGTTTCTATTTACATAAGATAAACGAGTCGCGTATTTTTGCATATTACATAAAAAGCCAAATAATTGCATAGTAGTTGACCTCCACCTCCGATTTAATAGTCATCTAGAGCAGGAGAGAGAACGGAGAAGATTTAAATAAGAAACTATACAACGTATTCAACAAAACATAGGTCAGTTGGTTTAAGTAGGATTTGGTTTGGATGCTTGGCAGGGTAATCTAACACACTACCTATCCTAAGCCGAGCTTAGTTGTCAAGTCTTTGAGGAGCTGTTGTTATGCTGCTGCTGCTGCTTATTCATTTTTTTGACTACCTATCTAGTCAGTACCAAAGTATTTCTGGCCAAAATGATTGGGCGCCACCGGATGCAGCTCGGAGGTGAGAATCTGCATTCTGGGAAACGCAGTGACTACGGTACGAGCGGCGACAGGCGTACAGAACAGATTCGACAATATGATGCACTCCTCGGGCACTCCATGCTCTCGCAAAACATTTACTGCCTTTAACACAGTATTCCCAGTGGACATGATGGGATACATGAGCAGCACCTGGCGGCTACCAATGTCATCGGGAAAACGTGCATAGACCACGCGAGCCTCGTGTGTATTGGCATCTGATTCGACCAAAATCTTTCCAATGCGTATAGAGCGACAGCAATCCCGCAAGCCCTGCTCCATGGCCTCTCCGGATCGTATGATGGAGACGCCGCAGTTGCCAGAGCGATATTTTAGGCCCTGATAAATGGCACCAGTTGGAGTTTCCACGTCGCAATCGGAGTATGGCAACTGATTTAGAGATTCCTCGATAACGAGCCGTATTAGCCGGTCAGCATAAAATTTAAAATCGCTCCGCGAGGTGTTTCTGTGTGGAAGACAAAGATTAGTGGGAGTTTAAACATGTGACAGGCACTTACTTGTCGCGAATGATGGTCAAGAGCTCGGCCACTTGAGAATTTAAAGTAAGCAATTTTAAATTTTTACCATATTCAGCAAGAATCTCTTCTGGAGTGGACGATCCAATAGCTGTTCTCAGCGCCTGTTCCCCTTGCTCCGTAGCAGCCTGTTCTTGTTCGTGCTCGTTGTTCTCTTCGGCTTGAGAGCCGTTGCTGCTGGGCGAGCCACCGGTGCACATAATTACTTCGTATTTAAAATGTAATTTTAATTGGTTAATTTTTTCTTCTTGCCAGCTTTGTTTTGCTAGCGTGCCAGCAAAATGTATCGATATATCGGTTCACTGCAGCGATTCTAATCGCAAAATATCATTGATAGCATCGATAGTGCTGCTTGCACGACAGTCTGGTATCGATAAACGCGAATAGTGCAATCGCTGTCCTAACTTACCTCGTGTTCTGGTTGCAAACAAAGAAAAAGTGCATTTTAACTATTATTAAATTACATTTAATTTGATTTTAACATTAATAAGTGAGCGCGCGTGTGGACTCGCGTCGTGCAGCAAGTTACGTGCACCTCTATATGCGTCTCATGGTCGCGTAAACGTCTGTGTGCGTGCGTGTGTGTATTGGCATTGTGTGGCTGTGGCATTGGCGCTCCGCTGCTGCTGCTGCTGCGCCTCAGTTTCCATTCATATTCTATTAACTAATAAACAAATAACCTTCGGGGCCGTCCCGCGCCAGTGCGAGTAAGCCAAAACTAAAAACCAAATTGCAGCATTGACAAGGAAGTGCGTCTCCTTTCCGTCGCCGTCGCCGTTTCCGTGGGCTGTTTCCGTATTGCTTAGGCAGCAGCAGAAGCAGCAACAAATTCAATTGCAAACGTAAAAACAACAAAAAAAAATAAAGGAAAAGAAAAAAGGCAAAGCCAAAGTGTTTGCCTGCGTTTGCGCTAGTGTGCGTGTGCGTGTGCGTCGTGCGTGCGTGCGTGTGTGTGTGTGACGACAAACACAACGACAAATGGCGGACGTAAACGATACAAGTGAACTCTTCGATCTCGAGCTGCACGAAGATGACAAAGCGCGAGACTCGGATGACGACAGGATCGAGCTGGATGATGTGAGTATATAACAAACTGCGCAGCAGCACAACGACCACCCCCGCACCCTCTCCTTGCATCCACTTACACATGTGCGGTACGCAAGTTTTTCCTCTTTGTTTACCTTTGCTTTGTCTGGCCCCCGCCTCCCAAAAAATGAAAAAAAAAACGCATTTTCTCTGTTTGGGCGCTCAACTCTCTGCGCTTATCTGCTGCGCAAAAGTCCACCACAATTTCGGAGTGTGGCGTCATCAGGTTATTCAACATCTTCAGTCATTGCAGCCTCAGCTCAAGCCGCAAGCACAGCTCGGCGCTACATGAAACACTTTTTTTTCTTCTATAATTATCGCTAAATTTGATTTCAACATTAGGCAATTGAACCATACAAATGTCCTTCAAAATAATCAGTATCAATTACTCACACCCGTACCTACACACAGACACACACACACAAACACACACACACAGGCCCGTCAGTATCAACTTGGGAATTACAACAACTACATTTTGAGCACCCAGTCGCACCCAGTTTTGAAAAGCCCTTAGAAAAGCCTCTATATTGATAAACTAACATCTTAATTCCTGGAAAATATATAGATTCATAATGTCAAAAAACAGGAAATAGCATTTATCTTATGTTTGCCGAAGATTAGATACTTTCACGTACATATACCAGACGTACTATGAGATAATTCGCTTCTTAATCACGTACAACCAAATTATATATACATTTGATAAATATATATGTATATGATTTATTAATGAGATTGTAATAGCACTTTTAAAGGGCTGTAAGAGCATAAATCAGTTTGTAATTGTTGAATTTGATCAAAGTATCTTGAAAAACTAAAATTTCGGACTGAAAACTTAAGATAATAATAATAAATCATATAAAACTTGAAGTATTTATCGTTTCACCTGTTTGTTACGTGTTGCTCCCATTTGTGCTGAGATAGAATGTGGTTTGCAGTGCATATTTCACGTCAAAAAGTAACGCTGGGTCACACACACACACACACACACACGCACACATGCTCAGTCGCTCTTCGCAGTAAGCTAAACTCCCACTTAAAAGGAACGAAAACTCTTATCAGTGTATAAAACAAAATTAGAAAACGGAAAAAATGAACGGCAAAGTGCTCTGCTGATAAGAAGCAACAAAAATGGTCAAAGAAAACGTCCAAATGGAAACTTGGTAATCGTGTCGATCGGCCGCGTGTGCAGCATTATTTGCTTTATTTTCCAGCAATTGAATTAATGCAATCGAGGGAATTTTTTTTTTTTTTTTTGATTTTGCAATTGTCATAAAAATACTTGTGGAGCTGCAGGGCGCACGCCCTCGAAATGTGGACATTAGAAATTATGATGGATTTGTTAATTGGAATTCGGCGCCAGCATTTGAGAAGGTTGAAACAGTTGCCGTTCAACCAAAACTGACTGCTGACACCCGCATATGTGTGTATACACACATGTGTGTATTCGAAATGAAGCAACAAATTTTTGTACGCCTTTCGGTTCCCCTGCGAGTCCAAACCGAGATGAGAAGTCTCCAAGTCGCACCCCGCCGCCCCACCAAAATGAAGAGGCAAACGTCTCGGCAGCATCCGCAGCAGAATTGCCGGCAGAGTATTTGGCATTGTTCCGAGTTCTAATTTTAGTTTGTCATTAAAGAGAAGGTGTGTGCGTGTGTGCGTGTGTGTGGAGAAGTGTCTGGCTCTATATAATTATACAAGCATATATATTTAGTCATCTATATGTATAGCCGATCTACAGCGAACCCGAGGCAAAACGGAATTTTTGTGCGCCTCGTTCTGCGTCGGCGTTGCCGCTTTTAACGATTTCTCTCGGCCCCAAAGCACTTTCTCTCTGCCAAAGAGCGCATCACAATTTGTCTCTGTCATAAAGATACTTTGCCCAGTTCCAGGTAGACGCAACTTTCGTCAGAGATCGTTTGGCAAATCCTATACAATGTTTGCAATAGAGCTCAAAAATTGGCTACCAAAAAGAGATGCCACGCTCCTCCATGTTACAACAGAAGCTATATGAAATGGGAGTCCAATTTTAATAAGATTTTCCTTGTAATGTATTTTACTGCATTGATGCTATTGATGAAGTTCTTTGAAATATCTTGCAAAGGAACAGCTACATGATATAGTCATCCGATCTGGACGATACGATAAAAAAAGGCTCATCTTGTTCGCATGGAATCAGAAACACAGCTGTTGTGAAGTTTTGATAGAGTCACAGCGCAAGGCTATAAAAATCTCAAATATTTGGAATGTTGACTTGGAATTTCTTTTCTATTAATTTGAACCCTTGATTACCTGTTGAACGTCTAAGATATAGCGAAAGTATTTGAAGTATTGAGTTTCGATTAGTTATTGAATATTATTTGAGATTGAGTATCTTAAAAATGTTTACAATGTAACTTGTGGGCTTTCAATAGCAGCTACTAATTGTACAAGTTTTTTTTCTGACTCATTTGCATATTGTATATTCTGTTCTTATATGTGTCTCTCTGTCTTTGTCTCTCTTGCAGGTCGATCTGGAACCGGAATTGAGCATAAACCTACACCAAGAGTGAGTAATGCCCAAGTTATGTCGCTGGCAAATGATGAGACTGCGATTCCGAGGCTTTCGCAGGCGACGCACAGACGACGCGATTCTCTTCTGAGAACAGCAACTGAACAAATGTTGAGGGGGGAATTCCCATAAGTGTCGGGCGGATGATAATCGGCCTAAGGCTGGGGCAATAACGTATCAATTGCCACACACATACTCACGAGCATTATGATCGCCGCCAGAAGGAGGGGCACACCTGTCGTTGGCGGCAGCTACCGGGACTGATAACGCGACTGGCTTTGTCATATGGCGGCGTCAGAAGTGTTTACAACTGGCAATTGACTACCAACAAGCTGTTGTTGCCCCGTCTAGTGGGCAATATGCCAGCCAGCCGATGTGCAAACACTCGATATGCTGATGGAGTGGGCTGTTAGTTGGCTAGGCTAGAGGGGTTGGGCAATGTTACGGGGTCTGAGGGGCGCCAATTGGCGCGTGTTTGCCAGCGAACTTATTTATAGAACGCGTGGGTTGTCCATTTCCCACGCCAGCAGCTATGCACACAAAATCTAAAACACATTTGCTAAACTAATCGTGCCCCCTCTCGTCCTCTCTTTTCATCCTGCCCGGAGCAGCAATGAGGGCCAGGAAACCATACAGCTCTCCGAGGAGAATGTCAATCCAGGCAAAATCAAGTTGGGGCCAACGGATTTTGAGCTTAAGAAAGTGCTTGGCAAAGGTGGCTACGGCAAAGTATTTCAGGTAAGTTGCTACCCGAAAGCCAATTTAAACTTGTCAATAATGCTTAACCTTTCTCCCATAACAGGTGCGCAAAACCGCTGGACGTGATGCCAACAAATATTTTGCGATGAAGGTGCTCAAAAAGGCGTCCATAGTGACCAATCAAAAGGACACGGCGCACACGCGCGCCGAGCGAAATATACTCGAAGCAGTCAAGGTAAGATAACGACCAAGCCTCTGGCGTGGCAGATTATTAGCTGGAAAACAACAAGGTTATTCGTTTCCCGTGTTCTTGTGGCTAAAAATATCCAAAAGAAATCATTTAGAATGCCATTTAAATCTTTCTCTTCACATATTTTTGCATTGTTTCAAAAAACTAAACAAACTATTTAACTATTTAAAAAAATGTTATTTACATAATAATTAAATTTTCTTTTTTCTTACCCTTACAGCATCCGTTTATTGTGGAATTGGTGTATGCCTTTCAAACAGACGGTAAATTGTATCTGATACTCGAGTATTTAAGTGGCGGTGAGCTGTTTATGCATTTGGAGCGAGAGGGCATCTTTCTGGAGGATACCACATGGTAGGCTAGCCTGTTCAGCTCCGTGAAACGGAAATCTAATCAAACATATATTGCTTGCAGCTTCTATTTGAGTGAAATCATATTGGCTTTGGGTCATTTACACAAACTGGGCATCATTTATCGCGATCTGAAGCCAGAGAACATACTGCTGGACGCACAGGGACATGTGAAACTGACGGATTTTGGTCTGTGCAAGGAGCACATACAAGAGGGTATTGTCACCCACACCTTCTGCGGCACAATTGAGTACATGTGCGTGCGCGCCCGCCAAGCCTTTCATTAATTGCTTAAACTGTTGATTTACCAAAAATACTGAATGCAAACTCTTGTATTTTATAGGGCTCCAGAAATCTTAACTAGAAGTGGCCATGGCAAAGCCGTCGACTGGTGGTCCCTGGGCGCACTCATGTTTGATATGCTCACGGGCGTGGTAAGTGCCATAACAATATGACTCATCTGTGTCCCCGTCTAATGCGTCATGCGCTTCATGTTGCAGCCGCCCTTCACCGCCGAGAATCGCAAGAAAACCATTGAGACCATACTTAAAGCCAAGCTTAATCTGCCAGCCTACCTCACACCCGAAGCCAGAGATCTGGTGCGACGCCTGATGAAGCGACAGGAGCCACAGCGTCTGGGCAGCGGACCCGAGGATGCGGCGGCGGTACAGTCACATCCATTCTTCAAACATGTCAACTGGAACGATGTGGTAGCCCGACGCCTCGAGCCGCCCATTAAGCCGCTGCTGGTAAGCCAACAATTCGATATTAATGCCGTGCAATTGACTCATCAGATTTTATACGATTTAAACAGCGAAGTGAGGATGATGTCTCCCAGTTTGACACGAGATTTACAAGACAAATTCCCGTTGATTCACCGGATGATACAACGCTCAGCGAAAGTGCCAATTCAATTTTTCAAGTAAGTGCTAGGTGTAAGCTTATATAATGCCCTTCAAATGGGAGTTAAGTCAATCCTCATGCAGGATAAGGATAGATTTATGCGCTATGACCTTGCTATGCAGAGGCAGGCTAGGTTTACTAACACAATTTTCTAAGATTTGATCCCCATTTCCAATTTTCCAACCATAAGTATATGTAAATTGTTAAGCACGTTTCTTAGGTCAGTTTTAATGCTTTTTAGGGAGCAACCAGCAGGTAGGGAATTTCACAATAAATACATTTCTTAAGTTAGGCTTAATGCTAGTCGGGCCAATCCTAGAATCAGCGATAGTCGGCGCCGCATTCAAAGTGCGGCTCCTTTAGTGGTATGCCCGTGGGTCCGTCTGTGAACTCGCAGAAGTTGAGGCCAATGCGACGGAAGGGATGACACTTGCTCTTGGGGTTGCCCCATTTGCCGCGATAGGTCAGCCAATCGGGCACCAAAGAGCGACCTGCTCCAAAAAAGAAATACGATTAATTAAAGCGAACAACTTGGCTAATCGTATACACACCATAGGAACGCAAATTCTTATAGCTTATGTCGACAGCCTTCCAAGTGTTCCAAGGCGTACCAAAGCCATTTATATCGTACAGACGGGCCACCTTAACGAAACGATGCTTGCCTGGCGCCGTCCACAGCCCGTGCGAGCCCTTAGCGGCAAAGAGCACCGGATGATTCTTGAACGTGGTGACCGTTTTGGGAAAATTGGGACGCTGCAGGATGCCCTTGCGCGTCTCCTGGCGCCGAAACTCAAAAGAGCCAGTCAGGCGATTATAGCTGTAGTAGGCGCCCGCATCGTGAGCGGATACATACATGGCCTGCGGCTCGGCATCGCCGTTGAAGTACAAACTCATATGCTCCCAGTCGCCCACATGGCTGCCAATGTCCCGGCGGTGGCCCAGGCAGTAGCCGTAGACAGCCGGAAAGGGTATGCGGCCCAGGGGCCCCAGGCTCAGCGTGCACATCGTCTTGCCCTGGCTGTAGGGATAGAACATCCAATATGTGACATGGAAGCCAGGCAGTTTTCCCTTGACCCGCTGCGTCTCTTGAGCTGGCGCATCGCTTATATTGTTATCCTCCAGATTGTCGTCCAGATCGACGCCTCCACTGAACTTGACATTGTCCGCCAGATTGGCTATAAAATTGTTCACTGGAATCCCATTCTCCAACTCGGACTCCAGCTGCTGCTGCTGCTCCAACGTCGCGGGTTCAGGAAGCGCTGCGCCGGCTAACTGTGTCTCACCCATGACCAGATCGTAATCACTGATCGGCCCGTACTCTGGCATGCTGCCTGCCTCGCGCCTTACGCGCTGAAACAGTGGAAAGAGTCGCGACGAACGTCGGACCGTCTCATTGCGTTCCTCCAGCGGATCAATGGACACCGGTATGTAGGGACCTCGTGTGCTGGCCAACGGTGACGGAGGCACGGCTTCGGGCTCGCGTTTGGCCGGACCGGGACACAGTGTGACCACGCCATAGATGGGCACTGGCGCCTCATTGGGATTACGGCCGTGGATGAACGATTGCTCGTTCTTGAGCAGATCCTCCATCTCACCATTGGTCACCAGGTGCGATTTGGTGGAGTATTCGCTGAAAGGCACGCCCGGCGTAAAACTGCGATCCTTATCCATGGGATGCACATGCTGCAGGAACTCCTCGACTCCCAATGGCATGAATTTTTCCTCCGGCGCCAGCCACACAATCGGTGCCCATTGCTTGATCAGGCGTTCAACTAGACGTAAGAGAGTGGAAAAACCAGATTAGCGCCATAAACTAAATTTTAATCAGCTCTCGGATGCTCTGGCAATTACTTAACCCAGCTGTAAGCACACACTCGCAACACACGCACACACAGACATACGGGAGCTGCTCTACGTCTAGCTCTAAATTTGTTCGTTTTTCAAATTCAGGTGTAATAAATTTCACTTTCACACACTTGAAGCGGCCACCCAAAAAGTTACCGTACCGACAATTTGTCGCACTTTCCCCCACCCCACCCAGCCGAGCCATTGGCCACCTCGCACCCAGTTGTTGTGCAGCGGCTAATTTGCAATTTAAACACTTGCCAAAGCCTCTGTTTGTTATCGTTGTTTTGGGCTTTGACTACAACAGTTCCATATAAATACGCGCACGACTGGGAGCCCCGCTAGCGTGTAGGCCCCACCGACATCGGTCATCTAAGTAAATCATGTCGAAAATTTCACTTCAATATCAAGTGAAAAAACTAGATAAAGCGACTTTTAGTTGCTCTAGAAAAAGTGTAGACCTTGAAATTTCTTTCACTTCCTCTATTTCACGGTGTTCTTCCTCTTTTCTTTCACTTGCTCTCTCTGCTAGTTTTTCCCTTGGTTTCTCACTCCCATTTGCTCTTGTACTTGGTAAACCTTAACATTTTTTATGTCTTACTTCATGAAAACCGCATAGAAAGGCGATGTTGGAGAGTTGGAAAAATGGAGTGAGTTTATTATATAAATATAAATTACTCTTACTTTTGTTAACTGTATTAAGTGTCGCCTTTTTATGTGATTTTCAAAATGATAAGTAAATCTGATAAAATTTGACGTTTATTTAGGATGAGGGCAAAGTAAAAGTGGAAAAGTTAATTAGAGTAAGAGATAAGGTGAGAGAAAGGTATACAAAGAGAGTGAGTAATTGCGAAAGAAAGTAAAGGAACAATTGTTTATGTTTTCTTAAATCATTATCGTCTTGTTGTTATTTGAGGACATGAGAATCGCATAGAGCGGTCCCCATTTACGATTACCATCAGCTAACAGCTATTCTTCAATAATAAAGCAAGCTAAATTGGCAATACCCAAACAGTTAGGGTATATGAAATACGCCTAACAGCTGATTAGCTGCGTCCGTAGCTGTTGTTGTTGATTTCGTTGTTGTTGCTGTTGTTACTCTGCTAATAGATACCGTATGCATACCTACTTCTTTATCTAATGCCGTTATTTGAGCATATTGCAATGTTTGTTGTTGTTGTTGTTGTTGTTGTTCATAGGCGACGGTGGATGCCTCGTTGTTGTTGTTGTTGTTGCTATCGATGAAAGTGCCAGTACCGTCGGTTGCATTTAAAAGTCTTGTTGTCGTTTTTGCAGTGCTTGTTGCAGCAACAGTCGCCGGCAGCAGCTGCTGTTGCTGTTGCTGTTGTTGGGGCAGCGCTGTCGCCATCAGCAGCAGCAACGAGAGTGAATTTATTTTCAACAGCTTGGACATTTTACTTAAAAAAATAGTCTTAGCTTGTAACTGTCTGTGGTTGTTGTTGTTGTTGTTGTTTTTGCCTAAATACAATGGTTGAACAAAGCGTGGCTTTTATTTTGGCGGCGGCTACCAGCAAATTGTTGTTGCTGCTGCTGTTTTCACACAATTCGATTGTTTGCCAATTTTTATTATAGATTTCTTGCACATGTTTTTTTTTATTGTTGTTAGCAGTTTGTTATGTGTGTCTTGTTTTATTATTTAAAATTATGCAATTTCACACAGTCGCGCACAGTTTTAAAGCATTTCCGCACGCACTGTTTGCTAGCCCAAAAAAGTTTGACAAGCGCTGTGGCAACGTTGACGTCTGCTGCGGCTGCGGCTGCGACTGCGCTGCTGCCAAACGGTTCTTGTCCCAATTACAAGCACGCGACGCCGACGCCAACGTTGCTGCGCTCTCGCTTTCTGCACGTGCGTCTGCGCCTCGCGCTCGTTCTCTATCTCTCTTTCTCTCAGCTGCTGTTGTTGTAGTTGTTGTTGTTGTTGTTGTGACTGCAAGCACTTGAACTGGTTTGATATTTGGACTCCGGCCCTTTTGTCTCACCGAACCCGATAGCCCTGAAAGCCAATTGATGCGATGCGTCGCAAGGTCCAATCTCAACCTCATCCAAGTCCAAGAATGAATGTCAATGCGTTTGCATAGTGAAATTAATGTTTAAGCTTTTTGCAAATCCCAGCTAAGCCTTTCTCCAAACGTCACGACTGCGCCTTATAAAACCGTATACAATCGCAGATATCGGGCAGAGGGAGGTAGGCGAGGGGGTCTGTGTAAAGCAATGCGCTTGAAATTTTTTGTACACGACACGAAAGTTGAATTTTTCTTTTGGCTTCTACTTCTTCAGCCCGGCTATCGTGCGCACAGTTTGAGCGTTTCTTTGCGACTGGCCAACGAACGTGACTGAGAAATGGCCCTGGTTAAAGACGCAGAGAGTTGCGCTAACTGTTGTTGTTGCTGCTGCTGCTGTCGCTGCCGCTGCTGGCTCTGGCCAGCGAGCAGCTAATTGCAGCTCATGAGCAGCCAAAACTGTATTGTTGTTTTTGCTCGGCTTATTTGTTTATAAAATGCGTTGCGCTTGGCTTTCGGCGAACCTTTTCGGTTTCTTGTGTTTGTTTTTGTATTAAGAGTGCGGTTTGTTTTGGCCAATTGCTTAGGGTTGTGCTCAGAGTGCTGTAATTTTGAACAGCATTAATTTATATTTGCTATTGAAAGTCATTCGACAGCTTAGGGGGCGGTGCACAGTTTGATGTTAAGTGTATAGACATCCTCATAAGCAATTGTTAACAGTTGCACATGCACTGCAACGCCGATTAAACAGTTGCGCTCTCTTGTAAGCAAAGCTTAAATCGCATTGCAATAACTCTCAAACTGTATGTTTTGGAATGTTATGTGTATCACTGTACAGTTTGATGTTTATTGAAAATACTTATGTCCTGATAAGCGCTGTTAACAGTTAACAGTTCTCTTTCTTATAAGCAAAACCTCAGGCAATGCCTCGCCAACTGTTGTTGGCACCTGCCGCGTGCTAATTGGAAAATTCTTGTTACAATTAGAACCTCTTTATGGGTAATTATTAAGAGCTTTCTCAGAGCACGCCCGCGACTTTAGTGGGTCACGCAGGCAGGCGACTGGGGTGTAATGCATTGTGATATGATCAGCTCCCAAATCGAGGCTACAATTATAATTGCGCTCACGTACGGCTTTATTCCATTCCCAATTCAACGCGTCACGCGTTTGTGCAGCCTCTGCCCCAAGCACTGTGGCGTGCCGGATGAATTTACACGCCAGCCGACGGCGTGTTTAATTATTTTATTGCATTTGCAGTATCAAGTTTTTTCTTTCTTGTTGTTTATTATATTATGGTTTTGAGATTTCGTCAAATTTTAATTAGTGTCTCTCACGCTGGCTGCTAACCAAAATTATGCAAAATGTGTTACATAGGCGGCAGTTGGGTCAGTCCATTGGCTGGCTTGCATAATCCGTGCTGTCCATATGGCTGGGCATGATTAGTATGCGTCAGGGTAATTCCTGGTACTGCCGGTTGGCGGGGTACTGAACCAGGGCAACGGGGCTGCTCCAAATTCAATGGCGCACGCGATTTGGCAAGTGGCTCGCATTGGAAACGGAAATGGAAATGGCAGCTGGAAAAGCCGACACATTACGGAGAATTTTACTAATGGAAATATTTACAGGGTTTCACCTACGTAGCGCCATCGATACTGGAGGATATGCATCGCGCCAATCGGATGCCGGCGCGCTCGCCACGACGCACACTGCGACAGCATCAGCTGCCGGATAACAGCTTTCGGCTACAGTTCCCGTCCGCGAATGCGAATGTGGGCGCCAATGTGCCCATGGCCATGCAGCGGTCAACGTTGTTTGCCCGTGCCACGCCCCCACATCAACAGCACCAGCATCCGCATCCGCATCATATGCAAACATTTGCGCCGCGCCCATCGCCAGCGCAGGACGAGATGATGGATGTGCAGCAGGGACTGCCCATGGTCTAAGGTTACTATTGGATGAGGTGCGAAGGAGTCAACGAAGGCGAAGCGAATCAAGTGAAAATTGTTTTTGTTATAGAAGAGTGACAGAGAGGGAGAGGCGACAGAGAGAGAGAGAGAAAGAGAGAAGGGAGAGAAAGGAGAGATCGCGTGCTACGACGAACGTTTTGTTTGGATATACATAAATACTAAAGTTAGAGACATACGCAGATACTATACTATAATATAACATATGCTATTGCTATAGCCAACTATATAGAATAACTATATACATATATAACATATATATATATATATATTTGTGCATAACAACATATATGTATGTATATGTATATGTCTGTAGATCGTGAGACACTGAGAGTAGCTAGCTGGAGCGAGTTCCGGATCGTGTATAAATATTTATCAATTACTGATTATGTTTTATACTTATATAGGTAAAAGGTTTACACAATTTAGTTCAAATGTACACTTTAAAGTTTTTTGATTTTTTTATATATATATACACATATATACATGCTATACACGCAAAGAAACAATATAATAATATATGTTAGATACAAACACATACTTAACCAACAACAGCAACAACAACAACAATAACAACTATCATTATTATTATTAATTATGTTGATTGCTTGAGTTCTATTATTTGTCTTAAATGCACACAGAGAGCCACAACAATTATGATTATGAAACAAATATGAAAACAATTTCTGTTTAGATTCGAGCTTTAAATTCTTGTCTAGCCATTTAGTAATTTTGATGAACCTTTGTGTACAGTGACCACCTAGTATATAGGACGAAAAAGAAAAGAAAGGAAAGGAACGAAACAAAACCAAGAAAACACCATACAACAATTAAAACAATAAAATAATAATAATAATAATATAATTAATGTTAATGATACAAAACGATTAATTGATAATAATAATAAAAAGGAATATATGAAGCTATATTAAATGCAAAGGTTTCCCAGCGTGAAAGTCGTAAATCGCATGTTGCATAAGCCAATACATTATTTTGTTCATTTGTCGTTTGTTTGTTTGTGTTTATTTGATAGTTTGTCCTAATGAAGAAAACTCGCTTACGGTTGCTGCAACTTTCTATGTTATTTCACTTAAGAGCGGTTCGAACGTTTACAATATAAAAAAAAAATAAGGCATTTCTTAAAACAAGGCGGCAGCGACAAAATATGCAAAAAACACAAAAAGAAAGTCTAAACAAAAACAAAAAACGAAACCCTTGATGCTATAATAATTTGTAAAAATCCATTTACCGCGTACTGAGAAGCTAAACGCTGCCACAACAACAATAAAAAGAAACAAAAACTAAAAGAAAACAAAAGTAAACTTTAATAAAAAATTAATTATAATAGTTATGTACAATTAGAGTCGTGTTTGTACTTTGATTATATTTTGTTTCAATTGTTCTTATAATTTTTTTTTTCTGTCTAATTTTATCTAAATATTGATATTTGCAAACATTAACAAAAGTAAATGAAAAAAATCGCAAGAAAAAAAAATGGTAAAACATAATTGAAAACACAATGTCAAATATAATCAAAAGGTGCTTTGAATTGTTTAAAAAGACAAGACAACTACAATACAAAAAGAAAACATAAAACAAAAAAAAAAAAAAAAGGAAACAAAAACAAACTATGGAAAACGAGAACGACTAAAAACTAAATACTTATAAAATGGTTATATGTGTATAAAAACATATTTATATAAACAAAAGAAGAAAATACCTCAGAAGCAATTATTTTTGTTAAAAGAAAAGAAACAGCAAAACCAACTAAATTATAATACGAGCTAAATGAATAAGAAATAAACTAAAAAAAAAAAAACAAATATTTTGCCACAAATATTTGTATGCGATTTAAGAGAAAAACAAAAAACAACAAAAAACAAGAAAAACACAAAAAAAAAAAAGAGTATATATTAATATTATAATATAAATATACATATATTTTTTGAATTGTAAAACCTTTTCTGTTTATGTTTTATATGGTTTTCGAATTTCTTTTGTAATTTGCATTATTTTCAATTTTGTTATTCAACAATAACAAAAATAAATAACAACAAATGGCAAAACAATTTTCATTGTGGCGCCAGCAAATTGAATAAGAAATGTCTTATTTTCTTTGTTAGTGTTGCCCGGCAAAAGAAAAACAAAAAAAAAAAACCAAAAAAGAGAACGAACATTTGAATTGTGCTAAAACTTAAGTAATATATGATATGTATAAATAAAATGAAACTCGATGTTAAGCAGCTGATGAAGTAACTAAAATGAGACCCAAGCAACATCCAAGAATGATGAAACACTGCCTACATAAAATGGAAACAACAACAACAACAACAAAAAAAAACAACAAGAAACTAGCAACAAATTACAAACAATAAAACAAAGAGCAAATAAATGAATTTAAAACAAATATGTTAGACAGAAACAAAAACAAAATAAATTAAAGTCAAACAGTTACAGTTTGTATTCGTAGATAGCCAAGTTAAACAATTGAGACACAAGCCGAGCAAACAAACAAGAGCAAGAGACACACAAAGTCTTAACAAAATACATATATATATATATATATATAATTAACAACAAATAGAAACTTCTGTAGCTGCGATCTGCATACTAAATATACCGAAAGTTAAGCTATTTGTACAGTTCACAGGGCTAATTAATTACGCAACTAATTAAACGTTTGGGTGACTGGCTCAAAAATAATTATATGAAAACAAAAAAACAGTTGAAAACAATTGCAAGTTCACTGTTAATAAAAATTATTTCAAAAATTGCGCCAAACACGCGATCACATCGGCAATTGCCAAAATCTGCCCTAATAACAGGTATTTTGTTAGTAACTAATTAAGCGCGTTTAATTACTAGAACGAACGACATTAGCAAAAAATAAAAAAAACAGAGACAGTTCTTGCAACTTGTGGCCATAGCTAGAAAGAGGAAGAAGTTGGGGTACAAACTAATGGATGTGCCGCAGCCAAAACGGAAGACAAAAAAAACAGAAGAAAACTGACAACTAATAATGCAAACAGCAACAGATCCTAGTTAATTAAATTGTACATTTTTATTATCATTAAGGTTTAAGTGCAGTGCATAATATAAATATACATCAAACTTAACACATATATACACGCATATATATGATGGACAACAACAACAACAACAAGAACAACAAATGTATATCGTAATAAATTCAAACTAAATTTTACAAAAACAAAAGAAACTAAAAACAAATCTTTAGTTAATTGAGAGCTCAGCTTCCTTCTCTTGGGTGCAAATTTTTAGTTGCATACATTTATTAAGCTTGTTTTAATATTTTGTTTAGCCCTGATTTTGCTTTCCTCTATATATGAACGTGTTCCGGGAATATTATATATATGTATATATATATTTAGACATTGAGCTGAAAAAAGTTCTTTGTTTCTTATGCAACTTTTTCTTAAGTTGTTTAACAATTGCAGCATGCATATTTAAGTCACCTTTCCTCAATTACCTAAGCTTTATTCAAGCTTAGATTGAGCTACAGCCAAATATTAATGGCATTATTATGGAAGATTATTGTTTCTAAGCTCCGAACCCAATTTCAAGTACCATCTAGCTACTTAGGCCTTCAGCTAAGGCATCACAAGGATTCGAGCCAGCATGCTTCTTTGTCATTAGCTCAAGCTTGGACAACAATTCAGCCGGCAATCAATCAATCGCTCCCAAGCTGTAATCCTGCATAACTACCGCGTCTTACATGGAGTCACACCCCGTTGAACCTAAGCGGCTCATTCAGACACGCAGCTGGCGTTGATTAGCATAAGCAAATGCCAAAAAAGTTTTGCACAGTTGCCAATAAGGCAAGGAAATGGAAAATAAAGCAGGCAAAGAAGCGAAAGTATGTTAACATAAATCGATCGAGGTAGCTGCTTGAAAGTCAGGCACAGCTATTTTTAAGCCGTAAGCCGAAACCGCAAGGACGAGTCGCGCCTGCCACCGAATGCTGTATTAAAAGCGGAGCTGCCCGTGCGCTCCACCCAGGGCCTGTGCCCAATTGGATTGCCAGGTGACATACACACACACACACACACACCCACACCCACATAGAGGCGCAACTGCCCTGGCTACCACACATACATAGAAGCCCACATGGACATTGACATGGCAGCATAATAATAATAAATACCGCTAGGCAACCGTAAATTCCTTAGCATGAATCGATTTAACTAACCCACACCACGCCTCGAGGAGCAGCCAGCAGCAGGAGCGGCAGCTGCAGCTCAGTAGCAGTTGAAGTCGTTACAGATTCGGACAGAGACAGCCGGGTCGTCAGGTACTCCATTCTCTAGCTCAACCGAAAGCAAAGTGTGCCAGTCGAAAGACTTGCTGTCAGAAGGAGAAAGAAAAAGTCTCCCACACACACACCTTACACAGGCTGTGTATAAGGAATTGCATACGTAACAGTTAATTGCGCACTCGATTAAATCTAACGCAATATATATATATTTAATATTTAACCAAGCGAAATACTGTGAGAGATTCAGTGTAAGAGGCAGTGCATCATTATCGACCATGTTGCCGAATTTGAAGCCGCGTCGCATAACGGGCCTGCAGCTGGCCAGCAAGCATTTGGGTCCGGTGGCCAAGTGCCCGCCCAGATACTCGGAGGAGGATTGGGACTACAACAACAAGATCAAGTTCCGGATCACCTGCGACCAGGAGAAGCTCGCCGAGCGCATTGTCGAGTGAGTATTGCAGCTGCAGCACCAGACCAACAGCATGGCTCTCTCTATGTGCCTTTCAGGGAGTCGCGTCGCGTGGTTGATGAGACGAAGGACACCACCAAGAACTGGCAGCGCGAGGTGGAGCATCATATGCGCGAGCGCACTAGCGAGATACGCTTCCTGGTCGACGAGCTGAATCGCCAGAAGAAGACGGCCGCTCTGGAGGATGAGACGCTGAACACGTATCGCAATCGTGTGCTGAATGCCATCGAGTTTCTCAAGGAGAAGTCGCTGGCCATATGCAAGCAGTGTCTGATCCTGCGCGAGGGTCGCATTGGCGTCGATCTCTGCGACGATGAGGTGGATCGCTCGCTGCGCCGCGAACTGAAGGTCATCAAGGGCTGCCAGGGCCTGGCCGATGCTGCACTCAAGGAGGCCGAGGAGCAGATACGCAAGCTGCGTGCGGCCATGTATCTGCTCGACCAGGATCTGGCAGCCAAGGACAAGTCACTGGCAATTGACGAGAAGAATCTGAAGCTAAAGGAGTTTCAGCAGGACCTTGGCAAAGGTCAGGACTTGTCCAAGCAGCACTGGTAGGTCAGCAACTGTATTAATAACCAGCAGAGCCTTTAACTATTCCAACTCCCATTCACCGAAGCCAATTCTCGCTGACCGAGTGGCAGGCTCAGACCTATGAGAATCTGGAGGCAAATGCCAAGGCTTTGGTATCCGCCGGGCAGCTGCGCGCCTACATTGATCTGCTGCTGAAGCAGGTCTGTGAGGACATGCAGAACCAGACGGATCGCACCAATGAGGCCTTCGAGCGTCGCATCGCTGAGACGAAGCACGTGAAGCAGTGCCTGGAGAACAAGCATAAGGATACCATGGACCACATCCATCAGGTGCAGCGCAACATGAACGAACTGGAGCGCGAGATGTCCGACAAGCAGCGCGCCATTACACTATGTCAGACGCGCCTCAGCAATCGCGCCCATCGGCCAGGCCTGGAGCTGACCTGTGACATGGTCCAGGATGCGCTCTACAATGAGCTGCAGGCCCTCAAGGCCTCCGTCTGCAAGCTGAATCAGAAGCTGAACGAGAACAAGGCATCCATGCGCTATCTCATGCACGTCCAGGTCATGCAGGAGGAGGAGATCAACATCAAGGCAAACAGCTGCAAAATAGACGAGGTCGACTGCATGACCCTGCGCCAGGCGCTCAAATACACATCGTTCTAGTCCTTCTACTAGTCCACTTCGCCCACTTCTACACACACACCATAACTTAATCAAATTCAAATTTAAATTGCATGTGCATTACAAAATTATCAACATGTGCATGGTCAATAAATTGAAGTTCACTCCAAGTTCCACATATGCAAGCATTTCCCATGGATTTAATTCGCCTTTGACACGCCACAGAAATATTCTCAAATTTGGGGTAGATTGTTTTTTTATACCATTTTCTTAAAGGCCTTTTAATTCTTCTATGATATATATTTCATTCAATTCTTGAATAAGTTATAAATATTAACTCTATAATTGATTATTGAACTAACATTCGAGTAGTATATCATTAAAAATATTTTGCACGTTTTCTTTTTACTTATAAACATAAATTTAAGACTTCCTAACAATCATCCACCCCTTTTCCGACCATCTGCGTGATTTATACAACTTGAATCAAACTAACGCCCAGTCAGTAGATTTAATCTATAAATTGGGTTATATATATATCGGTTAAGTCTATATACATATAATGAGATAATGATACTATGCTCTACATAGATTTATCTTAGCCAATAAGCGTCTCTTTGCATACGTGATTTTTGAGAACAGTTTTGAAAATCATTGAGCAGTGTTGACAGCTATGATAGTCTTTGGAAGCGTGACGCTTGATGTGGTTATTGAGATGGGGCTTCTGCATAAAGTCCATCGGGCAGTGCGGACACTTGAAGGGACGTTCGCCCGTATGACTGCGGATATGCTTCTGAGCGTCTGAATGATCTGTGAAGGCCATCGGGCAATAGGAACACTTGTAAGGACGTTCGCCTGTATGAATGCGAATATGCCTGCGTAGATTTGAACGAGTGCTAAAGACTTGCAGGCAGTGAGGGCACTCGTTCCTATGAGTACGCATATGCCTATTAAGGCTGCCTTTTTCATCAAAGATCTTCCAGCATTGCGTGCACTCGTACGTACTTTTATCCGTGTTTTGCATGTGGTCCGTGACTTGATCCCTTAATTCGGCTGGGGCAACCAAGCAACTGTGTGGGACGGGAGGTTCTTCGGTCAGGTTGCGCACAGGATAGTTGCCTTGACTAGCATCTGTGCCTTCTTGCACTATATTTGTTCGGCATAGCTGCTGCTCCATCTTTGGGCCCTTCAATTCTGTGTCACACCCAAAAAATACGTTAGTTTCTATTTTAACACAAGTATCTTTGTTGAACCGTTCCCAAAGCAGCTGATGGCTCCTCTCACATTTGCGCTTGAATCTAAATGCATTCACAGTGTCGGAAATACAGGAATGGCAAATCATTTTAGGTAATGGATCATTTGGGCTGATCTCACAGTTGACGCACTCGGTTAGCATTTCGGCCAGGCTGGGTTCCTCCCTTGGCAGCTGGCATTTGGAAAATATCTCCTCAAGCGGTTCACTGCTACTCAGGCAAACTCTGCAGAGTTCTTCCATGTTTATTTACAATTAAAATGAGTACAAGCTGACCAAATTTACTGCTCTCGCATAAGCTTGATAAAATCGATTTATGTCTTGCAAGTATCGATACAAAGGGAAAATTACTTTTGCTGGTCACACTCAGCTGTAACTTGCATTTTTTAAATGTCTCATTTAACGGAAGCCAAGAAGCTTCTAATTGTTTACAAATGTTTATTTTGAAAATGTTTCCACCTCTTAAAGTTGCTTATATATTAACACACACAATTATAAATAGTTAATCGGTTAAAGAGTGCTTATAAAATATTAACAAGTACATATGCATTTCAACCAATATTATCAACGGTTGTTGATTGTTTTGAGTTGTCCTCAGGGGCTTTCTTCGGTGTGAACGAGCAGGTGATATTTAATATGCAGCATTCGGGTGAAGCTCTTCGGACAATAGGGACATCGGTATGGACGCGAACATTCTTCTGCATGAAGGCGAACATGCCTTTGCAGGTTTGACGGATTATTGAACGTCTTCGAGCAATAGGAACAAATGAATGGACGTTCGCCTGAGTGAATGCGTATATGCGACTGTAAGTTCGTATTATTTTTGAAGGCTTTCGGACAGTGTGGACACGCGTATGGACGTTTCCCCGCGTGACAAATCATGTGCTTCTTCAGTTGATAGCCTAGCACAAACACTTTAGGACAATCTTGACACTTGTAAGCACGTTCGCGTATGTGACTGTCCATGTGCGCTTGCAGACTCGCACGCCTTTTATATGATTTCGGGCAGTGCGTGCACATAAATCGACGATCTTCTGCTCGATGGTACGCTGCATGCTCAGTCAATAGGATCATCTCAGCGAATGCCTGGCCACAAATTGTACAGCGATGATTGCTTTCGGTGGCATCAGCTTTAGCAATGTCCGAAATCCCTGGCGAAAGTACTTCCTCCTTAAGACTAGTGCCTTGAGGCAGCATGTTGTTTTCTTCGAAGTTATCTACCCAGCTATCCGGCATAGGTGTCTCCAGCTCCTCCTCCTCCTTCACGCACGGCAGTTCCATGCTTTCACATGCATCCAGGTGCCAATCGTCAGCTTGACTGCCCTCTCTGTGAAGCAGCCGACAAAATTGCTGATGGCTTTGTTCGCATGTGCGTTTAAATTTGAATGCGTTTTGGGCATCAAGAACGCAGGACAAGCAAATCTGTTTTGGCAATGGATCATCTGGATTTACCTCACAGTCGACGCATTCATTCAACATCTCGGCCAGGCTGGGCTCCTCCTCCGGCTGCTGTCGCTCAGCAAATATTTCCACAAGCGTGACGCAGCTGCTCATGCAAATTCGACAAACTTGTTCCATTTTTATTTACAATTTAAGAGGATAAAACTCTTTGTGGCCGACGGATTACATGCTTATAAAAAATGTGTGGTATCGATACATCGATGTACTTGCTGGATGCTGTCATGTAAAATGAACTAGTTTGTGCAACTATCGAACCTGTTGGACGATAAGAATCAAGCCAGAGTTATCGGAAAGCCGCCACAGTCTATCGTATAAAATGCAACTCTTTACACAGCTAGCAATTAGTAGAAAACTCCTTTAGATTTCTGCCGCTTTGTTGAGTTATTAATTAATGTTAAGCTAAAAAGTGTACAAACCAGAAATTAAGGTAAATAACATTGTCCGTCTGTCCATTTGGGTCGTCCCCTCTTACATCTGTGTGCCTTCTTGCAGCTGGCAGCGTTCGCCGAGCAGCACACAGCAAAATGGAGTACAGCCACAGCCACGAAACTCGAAAATCAATAATAGAGAAAAACGAAATTAATAGTTTGTTGCGCTTTTTTCTTGCTTTAATTGTTGTTGCAGTTTAGAAATTATGTCAAAACGCAGTGCTGACGATGCCAGTGGCACCGGCAGCGGAAGCAGCTGTTTGGTGGCTGCGGCGGCCGCTGGTCAGCCGCCCATCAAGAAGGTGCACTTCGAGCCACATTTAATTGGGCCGGTGTCGACGTTGGAGGAGATGGATATCAAGGTTTTGGAGTTTCAGAACAAGAAACTCGCCCAGAGAATAGAGCAGCGAATGCGCTGTGAGGCAGAGCTGAGGCATCGCATTGAGCAGCTGGAGAAACGTCAGACGCAGGATGATGCGGTTCTTAACGTAGTGAATAGGTATTGGAATCAGCTGAACGAGGACATACGGGTGCTGTTGCAGAGATTTGACGCCGAAACGGCCGATGAGCTGGAGAACAAGAACGAGAACGAGGTGACCACCTCGTTTCTTACACAACTGTCCACCTGGGACAAGGAGGAGTTGGACGAAAAGCTGGCCAATCGTGTTCAGGTCTCTAAGCGCGCGGTGGCGAAGATCGTCCAGGTTATTGATAGGTTAATGCAACGTAACGAGAAGATAACGCATGTATTGAAAGGTGATGGTCTGGCCGGTGCAGGGGCGCAGGGAACGACAGCTGGCGGTGACGAGGAGCAGCAGTCTACCTCCGGAGCGGAGTCAGATGCGGCATCAACGGGCGTGGGTGTGCACGCGCTGGAAGAGACGTTAAAGAAGACTCATATTGAGATTATGACGGAGAATCACAACCTGCAAAACCTGAACACGTCGCTGCACGAAAAATTCCACACAATGTCGCTGAAGATGAAAGAGTATCAGGATGCGCTCACCGCCAAAGAGACGGAAAACGCTGAACTCAAAAACCAAATCGATGAGCTGCAATATGACCTGGAGAAAATACATTGTCGGAACGATAAGCTGGAGAACCATCTGGCTGAGGCCATTGAGAAACTTAAGGCATATCATCAGATCTACGGGGATCCCAACAAAAGCAGCAACAGTGCCAAGACGCCCAGCAGCGGTGTGGGCTCCGGAGGCGCAGGTAGTGCAACGACCAATGTGAATAGTCAACACCTGGAAGAGCTACAGAAGGAATTGGAGGAGCATCGCGAGCTGGCCAACAATCGGTTACAAGAGCTGGACAAGCTGCATGCCACACATCGCGAAACACTCAAGGAAGTGGAGAAACTTAAAATGGATGTAAGAATTCTCCACCTGATGCACCCAGCCAACAGCTAATCCTCTAATGCTTGCTTTTATTGTAGATCCGCCAGCTGCCAGAATCGGTCATAGTGGAGACAACCGAATACAAATGCTTGCAGTCGCAGTTCTCCGTGCTGTACAACGAGTCCATGCAGATCAAGACCATGCTGGACGAGACTCGTAATCAGCTACAGACCAGCAAGAATCAACATCTGCGCCAGATCGAGGTGATGGAGAGCGAGGAGCTGATTGCTCAGAAGAAGGTGCGTAGCGAGATGATCCAGATGGAGGACGTGCTGGCGCTCATACGAAAAGAGTACGAGGCGTTGCGCATTGAGTTCGAGCAGAACATGGCCGCCAACGAGCAAACGGCGCCCATCAATCGCGAGATGCGGCATCTGATCACGTCGCTGCAGAACCACAACGGTCAGCTGAAGGGGGAGGTGCAGCGCTACAAGCGCAAGTATAAGGACATCTCCACGGACAATGTGAAGCTGCGCAAGGAACTAGACGAGGCGCAAGCCAAACTCGAGGGCAACAAGCAGCAGCAGCAATCGGCGGCCGCGGCGGCAGGTGAGGAAGTTAAACAGGAATCAGCAGCCAACGTCAAAGAGGAGAATGCTAACAACGCTTCAGCCGGCGGCGCGACGTCCATGAACACAGCCTCCAATGCAAGTGGCGATGTCAATATGGTCATCAAAGAGGAGAACTCGGCCTCTGCCGAGGATGACCTGGACGACGAAGCCAGCGGCAAAGATGTCAAGGACACAAACATTAAGCAAGAAAAGCTGTCAGCCAGCGAAGCCGCAGCTGCTGAAAAAAAGGATTCACCTGGACCGGCGAATACAACAGCAGCAGCAGCTGGTACAGCAAATGCCGTTAAAGCTGAAAAGGATACCAAGGACGGCATAAAGGCAAAAGAACTGAAGGCCGTGGAGAGTGAAACAGTGCGAGATCTGAAAGCGCAACTCAAGTAGGTGCCAACTTTAAGTTGGAGAAGGACCTTTATTACCATCTATTATTTACAGAAAAGCGCTAAACGATCAGAAGGAAATGAAGCTACTACTGGACATGTACAAAGGGGTCTCGAAGGATCAGCGCGACAAGGTGCAGCTGATGGCCACCGAGAAGAAGCTGCGCTCTGAGATCGAAGAACTGCGACAGCAGCTGAAAAAGCTGCAGGAGAGCAAGCGTGAAGAACGCAAGAAACTGGCCGATGAGGAGGCACTGCGGAAAATCAAGCAGCTGGAGGAGCAAAAATACGAGCTGCAAAAGCAGGTGGCCAATCACAAACCCACCGAGAATACCTGGGGCGCTGCGCCGGGAGGTGGACCCGGTGGCCCGAACTACACTCGTCCGTTTGTCGGCTCACACGAGGAGGAGGCGTTGCTAAACGAGATGGAAGTGACTGGGCAGGCGTTCGAGGACATGCAAGAACAAAACTCAAGGCTTATCCAGCAGCTGCGCGAAAAAGACGATGCGAATTTCAAGCTGATGTCCGAGCGGATCAAGGCAAACCAGCTGCACAAGCTGCTGCGCGAGGAGAAGACGGTGCTGGAAGATCAAATGACGACAGCGACGACACAGATCGAAGCCATGCACATTGTGTTGCGCAAACTGGAAGAGAAGGAGCGCAGCCTGCAGGCCACCGTCGCGTCTATTGAAAAGGAGCTGATGCTGCGCCAACAGGCCATGGAGATGCACAAGCGGAAGGCCATCGAATCGGCGCAATCGGCAGCGGACCTCAAGCTGCATCTGGAAAAGTATCATGCCCAAATGAAGGAGGCACAACAGGTGGTCGCTGAAAAGACTAGCTCGCTGGAGGCGGAGGCGTACAAAACGAAGCGGTTGCAGGAGGAGCTGGCACAGTTCAAACGGAAGGCGGAACGCATGAAGAAGATGGAAATGTCGGGCACAACCATCGACGAGGTGATGATCGAGGAAATACGCGAATACAAGGAGACACTCACGTGTCCCTCGTGCAAGGTGAAGCGCAAGGACGCCGTTCTCTCCAAATGCTTCCATGTCTTCTGTTACGACTGTCT